CCACTGGCTCCCACACCCGCCCACTGGCTCCCACACCCACCCACTGGCTCCCACACCCGCCCACTGGCCCCACACCCGCCCACTGGCTCCCACACCCGCCCACTGGCTCCCACACCCGCCCACTGGCTCCCACACCCGCCCACTGGCTCCCACACCCACCCACTGGCTCCCGCACCCGCCCACTGGCTCCCACACCCACCCACTGGCTCCCACACCCGCCCACTGGCTCCCACACCCGCCCACTGCTCCCACACCCGCCCACTGGCTCCCACACCCGCCCACTGGCTCCCACACCCACCCACTGGCTCCCACACCCGCCCACTGGCTCCCACACCCGCCCACTGGCTCCCACACCCGCCCACTGGCTCCCACACCCGCCCACTGGCTCCCACACCCGCCCACTGGCTCCCACACCCGCCCACTGGCTCCCACACCCTCCCACTGGCTCCTCCACCCCTCCCTCACAGCTCCTTGCCTTCTTTCTTTCCACCTGGTTCTTGCGTAACTAATTCCTCGTCTCCTAACCAGCAACTCTTCCCTCCTTCCTGCGCCCTTCCCCCCTCCCAGAGCGCTGCTCACACCTGCTCGCTCGTTAATTAGGATCATTAATCGTTTACCTGACCTTCCAGAGAAGGCGTTATACGGTGAGGAGGGGCTATAGCGGTTGTCCTTGTCAAGAGGGACTCGTTTGCCTTGTCTGATTGCTGGGGTATAGTCCTTTCTGCAGGCTGTTAGAGTAGCAGGGGGGAGGGATTGTTCGACTTAGTCGTTGTTGTTGTTTTAGGTTCAGGTGCTCGGAACAAAAAGTTCCAAGTAGCACTGGTTATGGTGAGCCCGTAGTGGACTTATCTCGCACAGGAGCGGGGCTGTGGTGAGCCCGTAGTGGACTTATCTCGCACAGGAGCGGGGCTGTGGTGAGCCCGTAGTGGACTTATCTCGCACAGGAGCGGGGCTGTGGTGAGCCCGTAGTGGACTTATCTCGCACAGGAGCGGGGTTGTGGTGAGCCCGTAGTGGACTTACCTGACACAGGAGCGGGGCTGTGGTGAGCCCGTAGTGGACTTACCTGACACAGGAGCGGGGCTGTGGTGAGCCCGTAGTGGACTTATCTCGCACAGGAGCGGGGCTGTGGTGAGCCCGTAGTGGACTTATCTCGCACAGGAGCGGGGCTGTGGTGAGCCCGTAGTGGACTTACCTGGCACAGGAGCGGGGCTTTGGTGAGCCCGTAGTGAACTTACCTGGCACAGAAGCGGGGCTGTGGTGAGCCCGTAGTGGACTTACCTGGCACAGAAGCGGGGCTGTGGTGAGCCCGTAGTGGACTTACCAGGCACAGAAGCGGGGCTGTGGTGAGCCCGTAGTGGACTTACCAGGCACAGAAGCGGGGCTGTGGTGAGCCCGTAGTGGACTTACCTGGCACAGAAGCGGGGCTGTGGTGAGCCCGTAGTGGACTTACCTGGCACAGGAGCGGGGCTGTGGTGAGCCCGTAGTGGACTTACCAGGCACAGAAGCGGGGTTGTGGTGAGCCCGTAGTGGACTTACCTGGCACAGGAGCGGGGCTGTGGTGAGCCCGTAGTGGACTTACCTGGCACAGGAGCTGGACTGTGACTCCTCGTCTTAGTCGTTTGCCCCTGTTATAGGGACTATTATTTACATAGATTAAATATTGAGGAGATATGAGGGATTTTGTTTATCCTCGCGTCTATACTTATTGTGAAATGGTGTTTACAATATGCAGTTACATATTGGGAAAAATTTCGTTCGTATCTTCCATTTTTGTTTTCTCTATCAGGGCGTTTTAGGATTTCACATGTCGCGACCATGTTTCCTCTCTCATGCCTCATATGTTTCCCTCATACCTCTTTGAATGTTTTTTTTCTCTACACCTTTCATTTACCCTTTATACTTTTCAAATTATTTAAATAACCGTTTCCATTTGAGCTGAACGCAAATTATTCTCTTAGCATATCATTAGCAAATTATTAGCAAATTATTCTCGAACACAGATATTCTCTTAGCATATCCTAACTCCTTGTTTTGGCTACCTTGTAGAGCTGCTCTTGAGTTCTTCTCCATATATATATCTTATTCATTTCTTAAAACTCATTCATTATCTATGTCTCATTTCCTTTCACTAGTTCCTTAATTTGTCTCGCCTGTCTCTATGCTATGTCAATCAAGCTGGTAACTCCTTTTTTTTCTTTAAGACATTATACTGAAAACAGGTTAATTTTATTCAAAATCTTATATTTATTCTAATATAAGAAATTTTACTTCATGAACCCTTATTAAATCCACAACCATCACTAACCTGTCATAAAACCACTTTCATTATTACTTCCACATTGAAAACCCTTGAAATTTTCGTCTCTTGCTGAGGGTGTAGATCCTGATATGTCAGTCACTTTTTAATTGCTTTCATTCTTATTTTGCTCTATTTTTATTTTCATAAATTGACTTACGTTTCTTGTATAATTATCATTCTTCTCCATCTGTTTCTGGTCCTGGTATATTTAAGGTTATCTTGGACACCACTTGTGGAACTCTCCCTAAGGCTATCACCTAGATAATGGTGGATTCTGGAGCTCTGTGAGCAGTGTCGTGTGTGTGTGTGTGTGTGTGTGTGTGTGTGTGTGTGTGTGTGTGTGTGTGTGTGTGTGTGTGTGTAGCTTCCAGGAAAACATTTAACGTTACGGTCAGGTAGTTCATCTTATATACGTTATGGATGAAGTACGCTTTTACAACTGTTTATTTAAAGGGCACGCACACACACACACACACACACACACACACACACACACACACACACACACACACACACACACACACACATACGCACACACACTGGCGTCTCATACCTCAGACTGGCGTGAAGTCACCAGTGGAGTCCCACAGGGCTCTGTACTTGGACCTATCCTGTTTCTGATATACGTAAATGATCAATGTTTGCTGACGACGTCAAAATTATGAGAAGGATTAAGACAGAGGAGGACAGCTTGAGGCTTCAAGAAGACCTGTACAAGCTGCAGGAATGGTCGAACAAATGGCTGTTAGAGTTTAATCCAAGCAAATGTAATGTAATGAAGATAGGGGTAGGAAGCAGGAGACCAGATACAAGGTATCACTTGGGAGATGAAATACTTCAAGAGTCCGAGAGAGAGAAAGACCTGGGGGTTGATATCACGCCAGACCTGTCCCCTGAAGCTCATATCAAGAGGATAACAACAGCAGCATATGCCAGGTTGGCTAACATAAGAACGGCCTTTAGAAACTTGTGTAAGGAATCTTTCAGAACATTATATACCACATATGTCAGACCAATCCTGGAGTATGCGGCACCAGCATGGAGTCCATATCTAGTCAAGCATAAGACTAAAATGGAAAAGGTTCAAAGGTTTGCCACCAGACTAGTACCCGAGCTGAGAGGTATGAGCTACGAAGAGAGACTACGGGAATTAAACCTCACTTCGTTGGAAGACAGAAGAGTTAGAGGGGACATGATCACCACATTCAAGATCCTCAAGGGAATCGACAGGGTTGATAAAGACAGGCTATTTAACACAAGGGGCACACGCACAAGGGGACACAGGTGGAAACAGAGTGCCCAAATGAGCCACAGAGATATTAGAAAGAACTTTTTTAGTGTCAGAGTGGTTGACAAATGGAATGCATTAGGAAGTGATGTGGTGGAGGCTGACTCCATACACAGTTTCAAGTGTAGATATGATAGAGCCCAATAGGCTCAGGAACCTGTACACCTATTGATTGACGGTTGAGAGGCGGGACCAAAGAGCCAGAGCTCAACCCCCGCAAGCACAACTAGGTGAGTACAACTAGGTGAGTACACACACACACACACACACACACACACACACACACACACACACACACACACACACACACACACACACACACACACACACAAGGGAAGCAAATACTATTCATAATTTTAAAACCAGGTATGATAGGGAAATGGGACAGGAGTCATTGCTGTAAACAACCGATGCTCGAAAGGCGGGATCCAAGAGTCAATGCTCGATCCTGCAGACACAAGTAGGTGAGTACACACACAAGGGAGCCGGCCGGCCGAGCGGACAACATGCTGAACACGTGATCCTGTGGTCCCAGCTAGGTTCGACCCCGGGCGCCGGCGAGAAACGATGGGTAGAGTTTCTTTCACCCTATGCCCCTGTTACCTAGCAGTAAATAGGTACCTGGGAGTTAGTCAGCTGTCACGGGCTGCTTCCTGGTGTGTGTGTGTGTGTGTGGTGTGGGGAAAAAATAGTAGTAATAGTAGAAACAGTTGATTGACAGTTGAGAGGCGGGCCGAAAGAGCAAAGCTCAACCCCCTGCAAGCACAACTAGGTGAATACAACTAGGTGAATACACACACACATATAGGTGAGTGTTACTCAGTCTATTAGGCGAGTACACAGCTCAACCCCCGCAAGCACAACTAAGTGAGTACAACTTGGTGAGTACACACACTCACACGAACACACCCCCAGGAAGCAGCCCGTAGCAGCTGTTTAACTCCCAGGTACCTATTTACTGCTAGCTGAACAGACACATCAGGATGAAAGAAACTCTGCCCATTTGTTTCTGTCCCGGCCGGGACAGAAACCCGGGCCCTTAGGAGTATGACCGCTGAGCGATATCGACTGAACTGCAAGACCCCCATGTGTGTGTGTGTGTGTACTCACCTAGTTGTGATTACGGGGGTTGAGCTCTGGCTCTTTGGTCCCGCCTCTCAACTGTCAATCAACTGGTGTACAGATTCCTGAGCCTACTGGGCTCTTATCATATCTACATTTATAACCGTGTATGGAATCAGCCTCCACCACATCACTGTCTAAAGAGTGTTCCTCTTCACGTGGTGATAATCACATGTAAAAAAAACTGAAGAAATTAACCTAACAAAGGACATAACTGTCGTTGATCGTCCTGGACAAATGTTTTGTATTGCCTACAACACCAACCATTAATGTTGACGAGCTGTTGGGGCTCAATGACCTCGTTCCGGTCCCGTTCCTGAGGTAGCTTCAACACCTGCCTCGCCTCCTTCACCTGGTTGTGGTGGGGCAGCTACAGCACCCATACTGCTTCCTTCACCAGGTTGTGGTGGGGCAGCTACAGCACCCATACTGCTTCCTTCACCAGGTTGTGGTGGGGCAGCTACAGCACCCATACTGCTTCCTTCACCTGGTTGTGGTGGGGCAGCTACAGCACCCATACTGCTTCCTTCACCTGGTTGTGGTGGGGCAGCTACAGCACCCATACTGCTTCCTTCACCAGGTTGTGGTGGGGCAGCTACAGCACCCATACTGCTTCCTTCACCTGGTTGTGGTGGGGCAGCTACAGCACCCATACTGCTTCCTTCACCTGGTTGTGGTGGGGCAGCTACAGCACCCATACTGCTTCCTTCACCAGGTTGTGGTGGGGCAGCTACAGCACCCATACTGCTTCCTTCACCTGGTTGTGGTGGGGCAGCTACAGCACCCATACTGCTTCCTTCACCTGGTTGTGGTGGGGCAGCTACAACACCCATACTGCCTCCTTTGAATTGTTGTGGTGGGGCAGCTACAGCACCCATACTGCTTCCTTCACCTGGTTGTGGTGGGGCAGCTACAGCACCCATACTGCTTCCTTCACCTGGTTGTGGTGGGGCAGCTACAGCACCCATACTGCTTCCTTCACCTGGTTGTGGTGGGGCAGCTACAGCACCCATACTGCTTCCTTCACCTGGTTGTGGTGGGGCAGCTACAGCACCCATACTTCTTCCTTCACCTGGTTGTGGTGGGGCAGCTACAGCACCCATACTGCTTCCTTCACCTGGTTGTGGTGGGGCAGCTACAGCACCCATACTGCTTCCTTCACCTGGTTGTGGTGGGGCAGCTACAGCACCCATACTTCTTCCTTCACCTGGTTGTGGTGGGGCAGCTACAGCACCTATACTGCTTCCTTCACCTGGTTGTGGTGGGGCAGCTACAGCACCCATACTGCTTCCTTCACCTGGTTGTGGTGGGGCAGCTACAGCACCCATACTGCTTCCTTCACCTGGTTGTGGTGGGGCCACCACACACAGGAGGCTGTGTGGTGGCGTGCGGTTGCCTCACCACACAGCTAGTCTTCCTAAGGTTTCCCAACGTCAAGGAGTTATCGTACTAAAGTGCCCTTATCTTAACTTAAAAAGAGGACCCAAAACAGAAAACGGGACAGTATGTTAATTTCGCGAGCCGCGACTATTTTCTAGTACGACACTTTTCGGCCTTAGGTAGAGTATACGTCAAAATACGACGTTCTATTAGGAGGACGGGTTGCACAACAACAAGACCACCTCCCCCCCCTTTCCATGAATGGTTATCAGGTGGCGCTAAACGTGTCGAATGTAATTAAATAATTTCTGTAAATATAATGCTAAGAGGTATTTTTAATATATCTGAACATTTTTAATATATCTGAAAAATTTAATCTGAAAACCAATCCTTTTCTTGCACATTTTAAAGACAAAAAAATATATATTATCATAAAAAAAATATGTAACAGATATTTTAATGTAATAAACATGACAAGATTTTAAAATCTAAAGGAGAAAATGATTAGAATGTTCACCTGTTATTCTAATAACAGAGGTTATCGAGTTATCCCGAGAGCGTGCCCAAATGTCTAGGAAAAACAGATGCTGTGATCCCCGGGAGAGTGGAGGGGCGGGAGATGCAGCATCCCGGCACCCACCGCCAGGAATAACCATTCCATTATTCCGCCTTTCTCAGAGTAAAATGAAAAGGACTTTGTTGACCAGACCACACATTAGAAGATGAATGGACGACGACGTTTCGGTCCGTCCTGGACCATTCTCAAGTCGATTGTCAGCTCCAGGACGGACCGAAACGTCGTCGTCCCTTCACCTTCTAATGTGTGGTCTGGTCAACATTCTTCAGCCATGTTATTGTGACTCATCGCCTGCACGAAAAGGACTTCAGTGAACACTGAAGAATACTTCAGTGGTTTCTTTAATGTATGAAAGTGCAGCTCTTTTTATCTTATGATTAATATTTTCCTATTTTTTTTTAGGTATACTGTATGTAGAATTTCAGACGAATTTCACGAATCTTAACCTTTAATTTTAAGATTTTTTGTTATACATATATTTTTTTTTAGCAATGATGTGACTCGAACCAGTGATCAAGGTCTCCCAACCACGCACCTTACCCTAAGTACCCATGGTGCACAACCGACCGAAACGTCGTCGTTTCTTAATTTATGTCGTCGACGTCGTCGTCTAGTCATCATATTTTCAGCCACGTTATTGTGACTCATCGTCTGCATTTGTTCAGGCAGACAAAGGGGCGAGCAGACAGGCAGGGAAAGTGGCGTGAAGGAAAGCAAAGGGGGGCGGACATGCAGGCAAAAGGGCAATGGTAATGTACCAGCTTTTGTGCTTGTGGCATCAGATGGCAAGAGTGGAGATAGAGAGAGGCTGCGATCACTAAGATAAACACACGTGAATGATGACTCGAGAATCTCTCCACAATATTCCATTACCTTAATTATGTAAGTTCAATTTTTTTTTCTGGAACACGTATGATATTTAGTTTTTATTCATTTTCTGATTATTTTGGGAATTTTAACACTGATATTCGTGGGTTAATATTTGTTTTCGCCTGAATTTTTATTGATTATTAAGAGTGCTTGAAGAGTTTGTGATAAGACTGATAACCAAGTTACAATTATTTTCAGCTGGAGTACTGAAAGCTAATGAACTTGTATATTCATTAATTGGTTAATATTTTTTGTTTATAAGTAATGTTAACTCTTGGAGACGGGTGATGGTGGTGTTTGTGATAGTGGTGTTTGTGATGGTGGTGTTTGTGATGGTGGTGTTTGTGATGGTGGTGTTGTGATGGTGGTGTTTGTGATGGTGGTGTTGTGATGGTGGTGTTTGTGATGGTGGTGTTTGTGATAGTGGTGTTTGTGATGGTGGTGTTTGTGATGGTGGTGTCTGTGATGGTGGTGTCTGTGATGGTGGTGTCTGTGATGGTGGTGTCTGTGATGGTGGTGTTTGTGATGGTGGTGTCTGTGATGGTGGTGTTTGTGATAGTGGTGTTTGTGATGGTGGTGTTTGTGATGGTGGTGTTTGTGATGGTGGTTTCTCTGATGGTGGTGTCTCTGATGGTGGTGTCTGTGATGGTGGTGTCTGTGATGGTGGTGTCTGTGATGGTGGTGTTTGTGATGGTGGTGTTTGTGATGGTGGTGTTTGTGACGGTGGAGTTTGTGATGGTGGTGTTTGTGATGGTGTTGTGATGGTGGTGTTTGTGATGGTGGTGTTGTGATGGTAGTGTTGTGATGGTAGTGTTGTGATGGTAGTGTTGTGATGGTGGTGTTTGTGATGGTGGTGTTTGTGATGGTGGTGTTGTGATGGTGGTGTTTGTGATGGTGGTGTTTGTGACGGTGGTGTTTGTGATGGTGGTGTTTGTGATGGTGGTGTTGTGATGGTGGTGTTTGTGATAGTGTTGTGATGGTGGTGTTTGTGATGGTGGTGTTTGTGATGGTGGTGTTTGTGATGGTGTTGTGATGGTGGTGTTTGTGATGGTGGTGTTTTTGATGGTGTTGTGATGGTGGTGTTTGTGACGGTGGTGTTTGTGATGGTGGTGTTTGTGATGGTGGTGTTTGTGATGGTGGTGCTGTGATGGTGTTTGTGATGTCGGTGTTTGTGATGGTGGTGTTTGTGATGGTGTTGTGATGGTGGTGTTTGTGACGGTGGTGTTTGTGATGGTGGTGTTTGTGACGGTGGTGTTTGTGATGGTGGTGTTTGTGATGGTGTTGTGATGGTGGTGTTTGTGACGGTGGTGTTTGTGATGGTGGTGTTTGTGATGGTGGTGTTTGTGATGGTGGTGTTTGTGATGGTATTGTGATGGTGGTGTTTGTGACGGTGGTGTTTGTGATGGTGGTGTTTGTGATGGTGGTGTTTGTGATGGTGGTGTTTGTGATGGTTGAGTTTGTGATGGTGTTGTGATGGTGGTGTTTGTGATGGTGGTGTTTTTGATGGTGTTGTGATGGTGGTGTTTGTGATGGTGGTGTTTGTGATGGTGGTGTTTGTGATGGTGGTGTTTGTGATGGTGGTGTTTGTGATGGTGGTGTTTGTGATGGTGTTGTGATGGTGGTGTTTGTGATGGTGGTGTTTGTGACGGTGGTGTTTGTGATGGTGGTGCTTGTGATGGTGGTGTTTGTGACGGTGGTGTTTGTGACGGTGGTGTTTGTGATGGTGGTGTTTGTGACGGTGGTGTGATGGTGGTGTTTGTGATGGTGTTGTGATGGTGGTGTTTGTGATGGTGGTGTTTGTGATGGTGGTGTTTGTGATGGTGGTGTTTGTGATGGTGGTGTTGTGATGGAGTTTGTGATGGTGGTGTTTGTGATGGTGGTGTTTGTGATGGTGGTGTTGTGTTGGAGTTTGTGACGGTGGTGTTTGTGATGGTGGTGTTTGTGACGGTGGTGTTTGTGATAGTGGTGTTTGTGATGGTGGTGTTTGTGATGGTGGTGTTTGTGATGGTGGTGTTGTGATGGTGGTGTTTGTGATGGTGGTGTTGTGATGGTGGTGTTTGTGATGGTGGTGTTTGTGATGGTGGTGTTTGTGATGGTGTTTGTGATGGTGGTGTCTGTGATGGTGGTGTCTGTGATGGTGGTGTCTGTGATGGTGGTGTTTGTGATGGTGGTGTCTGTGATGGTGGTGTTTGTGATGGTGGTGTTTGTGATGGTGGTGTTTGTGATGGTGGTGTTTGTGATGGTGGTTTCTCTGATGGTGGTGTCTCTGATGGTGGTGTCTGTGATGGTGGTGTTTGTGATGGTGGTGTTTGTGACGGTGGTGTTTGTGATGGTGGTGTTTGTGATGGTGTTGTGATGGTGGTGTTTGTGATGGTGGTGTTGTGATGGTAGTGTTGTGATGGTAGTGTTGTGATGGTGGTGTTTGTGATGGTGGTGTTTGTGATGGTGGTGTTGTGATGGTGGCGTTTGTGATGGTGGTGTTTGTGACGGTGGTGTTTGTGACGGTGGTGTTTGTGATGGTGGTGTTGTGATGGTGGTGTTTGTGATAGTGTTGTGATGGTGGTGTTTGTGATGGTGGTGTTTGTGATGGTGGTGTTTGTGATGGTGTTGTGATGGTGGTGTTTGTGATGGTGGTGTTTTTGATGGTGTTGTGATGGTGGTGTTTGTGACGGTGGTGTTTGTGATGGTGGTGTTTGTGATGGTGGTGTTTGTGATGGTGGTGCTGTGATGGTGTTTGTGATGTCGGTGTTTGTGATGGTGGTGTTTGTGATGGTGTTGTGATGGTGGTGTTTGTGACGGTGGTGTTTGTGATGGTGTTGTGATGGTGGTGTTGTGATGGTGGTGTTTGTGATAGTGTTGTGATGGTGGTGTTTGTGATGGTGGTGTTTGTGATGGTGTTGTGATGGTGGTGTTTGTGATGGTGGTGTTTTTGATGGTGTTGTGATGGTGGTGTTTGTGACGGTGGTGTTTGTGATGGTGGTGTTTGTGATGGTGGTGTTTGTGATGGTGGTGCTGTGATGGTGTTTGTGATGTCGGTGTTTGTGATGGTGGTGTTTGTGATGGTGTTGTGATGGTGGTGTTTGTGACGGTGGTGTTTGTGATGGTGGTGTTTGTGACGGTGGTGTTTGTGATGGTGGTGTTTGTGATGGTGTTGTGATGGTGGTGTTTGTGACGGTGGTGTTTGTGATGGTGGTGTTTGTGATGGTGGTGTTTGTGATGGTGGTGTTTGTGATGGTATTGTGATGGTGGTGTTTGTGACGGTGGTGTTTGTGATGGTGGTGTTTGTGATGGTGGTGTTTGTGATGGTGGTGTTTGTGATGGTGGTGTTTGTGATGGTGGTGTTTGTGATGGTGTTGTGATGGTGGTGTTTGTGATGGTGGTGTTTTTGATGGTGTTGTGATGGTGGTGTTTGTGATGGTGGTGTTTGTGATGGTGGTGTTTGTGATGGTGGTGTTTGTGATGGTGGTGTTTGTGATGGTGGTGTTTGTGATGGTGGTGTTT